AAAAAAAAAAAAAAAATCTAGAAAATTTAATATTAATCTGCCCTGGGCTGCCTGTGATGCAGCCCTCAATGGCTTGCCAAAACTCAGTAAGCGGCCCTCTGCCTGAAGTAATTGTCTGCCCCTGCTTTAAACAGTAGGTACGGTAGAGTAATCTATTTAACCTTTCCATGAAACAGTCTGTGGGTAAAACTACAAAACAAACTGAAATTTTTGCAATGGAAATTCGTGGATGAAGAAAGGAGACAATATCTGTTTGTCTAAATGTTTTCTTCTAGAGAAATGCAACCTTACATGTATCTCCCAATGTGACACATGATGGAAGCACCTGTGGGAATGAAACATTTGCTCCACTCTTGGCAATTCAGTTTGGAGCAGGTCATTTTTGGAGCATCAACTTTACAAAGACTAGTGGAACTTACCGGGGAAATATTATTACATTTACCTACAACACCAATGATACTGCTGTATTTCAGGATGCGAAAAAAAGAGGTAAGACCAGCTGGATTTTGAATTATGATTAATGGTGACTTCCACCAAAAAACTCCATGCGGTAACTAATAAATGTTGTATGTCTTCATATGGTGTACCATCGTCTTTAATTGTTGATGTAGCTCACTTTTACTCTCTCTCACTTTCTTCTTGTGTCTCAAATGGATGAGCTTCATATTGATTTCTGCACACCCCCCCCTTCCATGAATGCATAGTAGATCTGACCACTACTGCTTCTAGCTCCTGTAGCTTTAACAGAAAGTGACTTTCAGGGAAACTAGCGTAGCCATTTTATCAAGTAATACTCTTCCTTAACTTTGATTGGAAAAAACTCTAAGCCCATGCAGAGTGTAATACCTATAGGATTACATCTGTGCAATAAAAAAACACTTGGCTAAGCAGTTTGTCACTTCCCAGAGTATACAACAAAAACTAAGGTCCTGATTTTGTTCACTTTTTTTTTTCCTAGTAGGGTATTAAAAATGTTTCTGTAGACCACCACCCTCTTCAGTGGTATATTTAGAGGGGGGGGGGTTTGTATGCTATATACTGCTTAGCTCCTCCAAGTAATACAGTGTGTAGGAGTAGCATTTATAAAAGGACTTTCTCTGGGGGAATCCCTTGTGTCTTAACTCCCTGGACTCTCTTATGAATGATTTGTATTTATAAGTGTTCTTGCAATTTGTAAGTACTAAATTGTCTTCACTTACAGGACCAGTTACTATTGTTGTAAATGACACCATGCACCCAGTTCAACTAAACAGGGTCTACAAGTGTTGTCATAACGAATCTATCGAAGCAGAAAATGTTACACAGTCTTTCTGGGATGTCACCCTGCAGGCTTTTGTTCAAAATGGCACAGTCAGTAAAAATGGTGAGTCACTTCATTGCAATATTAAAGTAATCATGGACAGTGTTAACCAACAGAAATCCTGAAGTAGCAAGATGACTAGCACTTCTGAGAGAGTCTTGAAAGATTCACTAGTACTGGTAGAAACATGTGTTTGTCCTAATTCACTAACTTCTGATCTGGAAACCAGGTTAATGCAGTAGGTCTGCTTAGAAATAGTATATAGAGTACTTTAGTTGGCAAGATGTTTTTTATTAGAAATAATTTGTATCATTAAGCACACTGATATTCAAGACTTGTTTTTAATACTTAGATGAGATCATTAGCATGTCAAACGCTTCAACAGATTTAGAAATTGTTGTCTGCACTTTGTAAACAGAAGAAACACTGCTGTTGTGTCCAGGATTTGAGCATGCTTTCTCCCTCTTCAAGCAAATGGCTTAGCAGTTTGAGGGTTCCATAGCAAGTCAATAAATGTTGTACTTTTCTCAAAGGCTCAATTTTTCTTTTTTTTCTTTCCTCTTTGTAATGCCAGTAATCTAATTGTAGCTGCCTCTATCCACTTCATCTCAAAAGATCAAGAAGTATCAATTTATGAGCTGTGCTATTCCGTAACACAAAGTGGCTAGTCCATGTACTCCAGTCTTAACCATGCCTCACTCCTCTCTTCTACTCCCAGTTCATCTCAATTTTTGCAAAGCAGTTCTGTCTGAAACACTGCATTTTTTTTGAATATAGTCTGCACTTAATACTAAGGTTTTAAGTGTTTTGTTTTAAACTGGGTGAGCAGGAGACTCTTGCTGGATCTAGAAAGCCAAATACTTCCTCTACAAATTCTTAGAAGCAGAACTACTCTTAATGAATAGACCCTCTGTAATGTCTCTTGTTGAAATAACAGTTAACAATGTATGCAACTTTTTTTTTTTAGAGTCTATCTGTGATGCTGATGCACCCACTTCTGTGCCCCCTGTTGCCAACCTAACTACAGCATCTACCACTTCCTCACCTGCACCAACCACAACTCCCAAACCAGTGGAAAAACCAGTCCCAGGAAATTACTCTCTCAAAAATGGCAATCAGACCTGTTTCCTGGCCACTATGGGGCTGCAGCTGAATGCCTCCCAAGAAAAGGTGCTTCTCCAAATCTTAAGTGAAACAAGAAAGGTGTTTTGAATATATCCATACTTGTACAAGTAGGAATGCCTAATCCTAGCTGTACGCAACAGCTGTACGAAGTTACTGTTAGTGTTGTATATGTGACCACTTTATTATCAGTCTGCTGTGTCTAGATAGTATCTTGCTTCAAACATTTTAACCCAGTTTAATGTAGCAACTTTCTGGGGAAAAATTCTTTGAAAACCTGCCATTTCAATGTCTCTTTCATGTTGGAACTTGTGGATGTTCTGCTTCCTGCAGAGGGAGCCCAAGCCTAGGCATCTGATTGCCAGGACTATGCTGCTATTGAATGCATAAAATAAAGGACTCCTACTCTTTTTAAAAGCTGAAAGGGGGAGAGCAGACTCAGTGGGAAAAGTGGAACAAATTTAAAAACTTTATTGAATGTCTTTTATATATAGTTATATGGCTTTGTACAGATTGAGGAAGATACAGGATCCCATGCGTAGAAACGTATAGTTGGAGTATGTTGGTGCAATCCAAGGCATGCAGTTGGTCAAGCAGCCTACATTAACCCAGGATAAAAGAGAATCGCGTGAGCAGTACTCAGCCATGAATTGTCATATTTTTAAAATAACTTGGTTAGCTGACACTGCATAGTCAGTAGCATGAAGACCAGGAACTAAGCAGCAATGTAGGGAGAACCTTTTGATCAGCAGCAGTATATAGCCTTTACGTAGGTAAACCCTTTTTGTGACTGACCTATTTGACTCTTAATTTTAGCCTTCTGTGATCAACATTAACCCAAAAACAACCCACGTCACTGGGAGTTGTGGAAATACGTCTGCTACTCTGAAACTGAACGATTCCAACAGCAGATTTATTGATTTTGTATTTGTTGTTGTAAGTAACTCACAGTTGACTCTTATGAATGGGCATTATTTATTATAAATAATCAAGGTGCTTTTAAGAGGTGTGTTTTGAAGTCAATGTTATGATGATTATGGGCAGGGAAACAGTTGGTTAACTGACTGCCTAACTCCCCAGCATATAAGAATTCTGTAGTATCCAGTAATATCCAATGTACTAAGCACTGTTAGCACTAAGAATTAGCAATACTAGGATTATAAATACTAAGCATTTAGCACTACTGTAGAGTTCTTCCAGTTCATGTTTTAAGCTTTAACTATGGAACTTTTATATATACTTATGTCTGAGAACCCATAAAACTGTTCCCACAATTATTACACTAAAATGGTTTTTGCCTTTTAAACAGAAAAACACAAGTGCAAATACACAAAGGTTTTATCTAAAAGAAGTGAACGTCACGCTGCATGTCTCTACAAATGGCTCTGGTAAGAAATGGCATGAGCTTTAAAGTAACCCCTTCTTGTGGCTCCTGTGTGTTTTGGCAAATGCCTGCCTGACTGACTAGGAGCAACCTTTTCTGGTCAAGTCAACAATAAGTAGAACCTCTACTACAAGAGTTAATCATGGCTAATTTCTGTTTCCCTCTTCCCGTGCTGGCTTGCATGTACCTTTCTCTTCCTCTGAAGCTTCTTAAAGTGCAGTCACTTGCTTTCTGACAACTAAATAGGTATACTTTAGGCAAACTAGAAAACTTTTTTTTTTTAAAGCCTTTGGGCCTGCAGCAAGAAATAGCACAGAGAGCTGCTCTTGCTGACTCTTAAACTACCATACTTGCTGTCATGCAACCCACGTGTATTTTTTTTTTTTTTTCTTTTTAAAATTCTTCTAGACCTTTAAGTAGGGATCTACCCAACTTGGAGGCAGATGGCCAATTTTTTTTCCCCCCAGGAGATCATGGGGCCAGCCACCACTTTCACAAGCTGATTATGGGGGGGGGGTCCACCACTACCCCTCCCTCCCCCTCACCACTGATTGTTTGTTTGCAAGAGCTGTTCATCATGTGTGCCCCACCCTGCACTGTTTGCAGGGAGCCACACTTTATTTTCAGTAAGTTGTACCCCTCCCTGACAGTGTTTGGTTTTTGTGTTTGTTTGTTGTTTTTTTTTGAAGACCTTGCCCAACTTTATTTTTAATCATGTGCAATGCCTGATTTCAGTTTCTCCAAAATTTGCATTTTGATAGATCCCTACTTTGTAAGACACACAAGCTATCTGAGCCTTCCACACAAGGGGAATGGAAAAGCCAAGCTCTTTCCATCGGTGCTAACTAGAAATTCTAATGAACAGACTTGCCCGTTCTCAAACCAAGAAGCTTCATTTAAACTCTTGCTTGGATTCTGCAGGTCTACTGCTAATGGATTAAGGATATGCTACATTTTGAGAAGGGGTTAAAGCTAAAATACTTATGTAACCAGTTTATATTACTGAAGTGTTGGAAAGTTAAACTGCTTGAGTAGAGAAGGTAGAATAGTGATTGCTTTTAATTAGCAAGTTTCCTGTTATAGAGGAATAAGGTAATCTCTCTAACTGTATTATAGGAAACTAAGCACTTAACTGCCACCGAATCATGCATTTCAGAGGAAATGTAGAGAAATGGTCTCTGTAGCCTTCAACTGAGTAGGCTTACGACTTTGGCGATATGCCTCTCTTGAACAACTACTTACTTGGGACCAGGTTCAGTTTCTGATCAAGTCTCACTAAATCCAATCTCTTCTTTTTATTTAGAAGTTCTACATGCTGAAAACCACAATCTCAGCAAATGGGACACCTCCCTGGGCAGTTCCTATATGTGCCAAAAAGAGCAGGTTGTTGAAGTCAACGGAGACTTTCAAATACATACTTTTGATGTAAGGGTTCAGCCATTCCTTGTGAAAGAAAACAAGTATTCTACAGGTAAGAATTTTAATCCAAATCCAATGGATTCTAGTATGCTCTGAATTCAGGAGTCTGACATTTATAAAATATATCAAATCAGGGTGGAACAAAAGCCTTCTATATATCAATAGAACAGATCTACTGGCTAGTCCTTCATTCATTTATTTAAAGCTAAAATGACCCCATCAACACTAACTGGGGGATTAAAGATGTGCTACAGCCTTGCATCATGATGAACAAAAAGACATCTTAATCTTAGAGCACTATTTAAATAATCTGTCACACAATATGTATTTCACACTGCAGTATGGCTAGAGATGCCTTTGTTTCAATATATGGGGCTAAAAATATTAACAGGGTTTTAAATCTTGCATGGGAAAACAGTGTGGGAGAATCTGTTGCCTTTTTGAAAGCTGTGAGTGTGAGGCTAAATTTGTTGAGTGCTAAAGATGACAAACATTTCTGCTGGGATGTTGTCTCTTGCTGACATTATTGGGAGGCTCTTCTTGGTGTGCCCTCTGAGACCAAGGAACTGTTGTTCCAGGGGAGGTGATAAAGAATTTGGAACAAAGCGCTTACTGCAAGGCTTTCTTGCCTGTGTTGAGGTATGCAGTAAAAAATGGCATTGCTTACCTTTGGGAAGGGAGAGCTGGGCTACCTAAGTATTTCAATAGTATTTTAATTGTTTTGGAGTCTGTTAGTCTACAAACTAGAGATGCACCAATACATTGGTCCAACATCAGATCAGCACCAATATAAAGAAAATTGTCTGTATTGAAAATCAGCCTGATATGGCCAATAATGTGGCCATTTTTTTTTTAAATGGCCCATGCATGTGCAGCTGCAGCACAGCACATAAGTAGTAAGGAGCATAGCCCAGCAGCTGGAAGAGCAATGTCCAGCTGGTAAGTCTGTCCTGGAAGGGGCGGGGTAGACCAAGATTCCCCGCATGAGGGAGTAGAGATGGGGCAAGCACTGCCCAACTGGGGCGGGGCAGGACAGGCGCAACTCATCCGGGAGAGCATGGGGGTGGGGGGGGCAGGTGCCCCTGGATCTGTGCAGGGTGGGGCCAGGGCTGCATCAGGCTGTGCTCAGGGCAGCCAGTGGCACTGGGAGTGGGCTTATGGGGAGAAGGGGCTGCAACCACCCCAGAACTCACCATAGCACCCAGTGGAGCCCCAGCCCCACCCACCCCATGCAGATCTGGGGGCACCCCCCCACGCTCTCCTAGAAAAGCAGCAGTGATAGCTCCCAGGCAAGTGGTGGATGAGCCTCTGCACAAGCAGAGGGTGCCAGCCCTGCCTCCCCACACAGCCTGGACAAGCCACAGCTCCATCCTGTGCCCACCCCCACCCTGGCTGGGCAGCACTTGCCCCAGCCCCACACCCTCCCTCCCTCACTGCAGGGGACCTTAAACCCCCCATGCACCCCACCCCTCTTCCACCACAACAGAGTTACCAGTTCTGCTGGACTGGTACTGGAAATTGGATCAGTGTCGGCTGATGCGCTTCCTTAAGAATTGGCTGTTGGTATCAGCCCCAAAAGTCTTTATTGGTACACCCCTACTACAGACCATTTGGCTTACAGTAAGTTTTTGGAAACGCACTTCCAACACTTGCCTTAAATTCCTGTTTTAAGTGCAATGAAATATGACAACTGATTTAAAAACTGGACTGTAAGTATACTGAGTAACTTAGTTTAAACTGCAGTTGGCTTTATCCTCTTTTGCCTGTTCCAGTCACTGTCTCCCATGCATTCACTAACTGCTGCTTCCGCTTGGCTTTTGATACTACATTCACATCTCTTTAAACCTGCCTTGCCTAACTCTCTCTAAGTGAACTTGTGCTCTGTTGTGCTTCTCTCTTAGAAGTCCAACTTTTAGGTATTTGCATATCTAATATGAATTTATTTTGGGCTCTTTCCTGATGCAACACAAAGCATTAATAAGATGCAGTAACAACCAGAAATGCCTGCAGTTACTAACACTTAGTACAGGTGTTGGTTACTCATGAATTTCATACAGTTCTCCTAGTATATTACATATCTATGATATAGTAGATCTGCTTGAAGTTCAGTTGTGTATTAAGGAAAATAGAGGAGCATTTTTTTCCTACCACTCTTCACAAACATTGTTTTTGTTTTATTCTTTGTCATACCCTTCTTCTCATCTACAGCCCAGGAGTGTTCGCTGGATGATGACACCATTCTTATCCCAATTGTAGTTGGTGCTGCACTTGCTGGCTTGATTGTCATTATAGTGACTGCTTACTTAATTGGCAGAAGAAAAAGCTATGCTGGATATCAAACGTTGTGAATCTGAAATGTGATCACTGTTCTGATTTTCATTTTAAATGAAGCAAGTGCAAGTTCCCAAATAAAACACAAGTTAACACTTGCCTCACGTAATTAGGTCTGGAGACTTGGAGAAGGTACACTCTTAAGCTTCTCTGAACTAGGAAAAAAGCATAGGCTTCCTAACTGTCCTGGCAGCATCAAAAGTATTTGACAAACTACTAAGTTTAAAATTTTGCCTTGCAAACACTAAAATAATTGGAGTTTCTGCCTGCTACTCTTTTACATGCAATACATTTAAAGCAGGGAATAGTTGAGAGGAAATGCTGTCTAATCTGGGTTACTAGCATGATGCGTCAAGCAGCTCTTTAAAACTGCATTGAATTTGTACTTGCTTCTCTCCTGCTTTCTTTGGTTATTGTCATACTTGCAGAGTAACCTGGCTGCATTGGTCACTGTACATTGGACAGACTCAAGCGCTCCTTGCTAGTTTAAACAGTGCCTAGTAATTCTTTCCTGGTTCATAGCACCAAATGCCATGCTTCTTGAGCAAGCTTCTCTTTTGATTGGCGTAGGCAACCAGTCTAACAGTAGCTCAGTCCTTTTCGGTTACTGCAGTAGCTTTTTTTTTTTTCCCTTGAAGCTTGCATATTTAAACAAATGTGAGTTAACTTCATCAGTTGATGGATAAATTGGAACTCTTAAGCCCAGTTTCTAAATGGCTTTAGAAAACTGCTAGGCAGGAAGTTCTGAATTACTCATGCACATGACAATGTGATATCCCTTCTTAAGATGATAAATCTAAGGTAGAATTCTACTGAAGTAGTAAAGTATTCTTGCTGGCATCAGCCTAGAGAAAAGGGAATAGGAACTTTTATAAAGTATTCCAAGACTCAAAGTGCACTTAACTTTATACTGTACCTTGTACAGAAATTGTCATGTTGCTTTCTTTGAGTGGTGTCTTTAAAGATGCTTTCAGTTTTTAGTGAGCCAGTGCTAACTGTTGCAACACATAGCTGTTCTTAAATCTTCCTATTAAATGATTCTTCACTAATCAGAGCTTGCATTGTAACTGTCCAGTATGTGGTTAGGTTATATAAATTGATGTGTATAACTTGTGCTTGATTTGTGTGTTGTGTGGCGAAGCATAAAACTGCATTTGTGTAGCATTTGTTAATGCATAAAGCAGAGTGAATCTGAGACTGACCCACTACCTTTTCCCTGCTATTTGGAGAAGATAATGGCTTCCAAAGATCTGTAATGCAGTAGGAATGTTCTTTTAAACTGCAGCACGTAGACTAACCCTCACTATACAGCCAAGTTTCTCTGGCTGCCTAAGCAATGTGTCATTCTGATGCATGGCATGTGAAAAAAGTAGCCTTTAGAAAAGATGACATGCAAGTCTGCATATGTTGTAACAACAAATGAACTGGTGACTTCATGAGCATATTATTACCTGTTGAACTAAAATCCAATCTCAAAACTGGTTTGGAATTGTCATGATAACTGTTCCAGGGTATACATAGTTGTACGCAAACAGCTACTCAAGTTGCGTTGGATCCTTTCAGTAACAAACTGGTCTTTCACGGTGACTTGAATGAGACACTGGCTAAAGGACCAAGAATGAGTGAAGAACTCCTGCCAAAGATATATTTACAAGCAAAATTCAAGCTTTAGTCCAATTCAAATTTTAAAAAAAAAGTAAATGAGACTTCAGGAACCAGAAGCCAGTTTTTGGTTTCAACATCCAATGTTTAATTTTAGATAAATTTGCAAATTGATAGGCTTAATATTTAAAAAAAAAATCTGCAACTGGAGCAATTTTATAAAGTTCTGTGTTTAACTGTTCCAGTAACTGATGTTTTATATATGCCAGTTAACTGTTGGTCTGCTTTAGCATATGACACTGATTCCTTCTGTCCCTATGAATGTTTGGCCTTTTTAAATCTTGGTATGGCATCTGAGGGACAGCATACAAGATCCAAGCAAATTCTTCCTCAAGTTCAGTAAAATGAAGTACAGGCATACCTCGGAGATATTGCGGGTTTGGTTCCAGACCACCACAATAAAGCGAATATCGCAATAAAGCGAGTCACACAAACTTTCTGGTCTCCTAGTGCATATAAAAATTATGTTTACACTGTACTGTAGTCTATTAAGTGTGCAATAGCATTATATCTAAAAAAAAAAAAAAACTTTTATTGCTAAAAAATGCTAACCATCATCTGAGCCCTCAGCGAGTCGTAATCTTTTTGGTGGAGGGTCTTGCCTCAATTTGTAAAAAAAACAAAAAACAAAAAAACAAAAAAAAAAACAACAACAAAAAAACCCACAATATCTGCGAAGTGCAATAAAACGAGGTATGCCTGTATACCTTTTTGAAGATGTAGACATCCCTGACTTCGTATGCCAGGGTGTTTGGTTCAGAGATAAAAATATCTCTGTTGCTGGTGTACAGATAACTGGCTTATGTAAAAAACATCTGAGTTTTGTCATCTTCACAGTTAAATAAACCACTAGATTTCTGTATTGTTTCTCTATAGGGACTTGTCAGTTTTAATCAACGTATGCTTTAATCAATAAAGATTCTTCCATTTCTTAAGGAAACCTGGTCACTTTTTTTTTTTTTTAATTTGGCTTCTTTATAATAGTTGTCCAGTGCTATAAAGGTCACTTACTAGGAAAAACTTCCTCTTGATACCAATTCTCTATCCATTTTAAATTGGAAGGTCTTCACCTTTAATTATCCTAGACCTGCAAGAGGCCTCTGCAAAGGCCTCTTACATTGAGTTTTCAACACTTCTTCATTCTGTGTTCCCCTGAGGAGGACTTTGGTCCCCCAGCCTATAAGTAGCAGACAACTTGAACTACTAATCTAGATATTTTAATATCTGATCCCGTTTGTCTGACACTCAACTTTTATACTGAGCTGCAATTCTTCTGCCTAACCCAGTAGAATCATATTGACTAGCAAAATGTATTGTTTGTAAGCTGGTTCTAATCGGCTGATTTTCTGATCACGGCTATGAATGGTTCAGTGTTTCTCAAAGTCCTTCTTTGGGTGGGATCTTTGCAAGTATGAACTGGGTGCACTAACATCATTTGAACAAAAGTAGGGAAGCAGGGGGCCTTGGTATAGTGTTCTGCTTTTTGTAAGCCATGGGCTGTTGCACAGGCTCATAGCAGGAACGGGGAGGGGAGGGGATGCTGTCCTAGGAAGCATTGGCAAAATTGTACCAAAATACCTGGGAGGTGGCTTTCCTAAGTTGTGACTTTTTTCAGTCTGCTCAGGATGCAGGTCTTACTCTGGAGTACAGCAAAGGTATTGTCATACTAGCATAGTCTACCATATAAACTAGGGCTGTCCAACAGGCAGCCTGTGAGGGGTTAAGGTGTGTCACCTAGCTGCTACTAGGCCCTCCCTCCTGCTGCTGCTAGCTGCAGGAAACTAAGGGGAGTCCAGGGCTGTGAGGATGGGGAAATCATGCCCTAGTAGTGGCACAGTAGTGGGAGCAAGAGTTGAGAGCATTCACCCAACACCTGGTGCAGGTTTGGCGGCATATGGCCCTTGGCTTAGAAGTTGGGCAGCCCTAATGTAGATGGTGCCTACAGCCCTTAGAAACTTGTAGAGCAGGAAACTCAAAATCTGAAGATGATCTTTGTCTGACTTGAACAGTTACTCAATATTTTTCTCAAGTTTTGCCTCGTTTACCCTGCAGTCCTAAACTCACTTGTGCTTGCTCCAGCTCTACTTTTAATTGTCAAAATGAGCAGCTCTGCACATGCTGTACTCTGCATTTCGGGAGCCTTGTTCTTGTTGCATCTCATTGGGTCTAGCTAGGCCAATCCATGGTTTTACATTACTAATTAACACGAGCAAGAGAAGAAATCGGTCTGCTTGCTCTACTGACCTAACCTATATAATACATCAGTTGCAGCCATTTTGCCACAGTTGTATTGGTATTATGCTCATCTTTGTTCCCTGTCTTAAGTTCTAGGTACTATACGGTAGCTAGTGTCAGCAGTACTTCCTGTTCAAGACTCACTAGACATGGACTGCCTTAAACTTGGATTGGTCATGCAAAAAACTTAAGAATATTTGTCACAAAACACTACAAAGCTTTTCTTTCCAAAAAAAAAAAGGTGTGTGTGGGGGGGGGGGG